ACACGAAAATAGTAGCTCAGAGTAGCTTCCCTTTAGTCGCTCGCTATCGTAAGTCTTAAAAGTGGGTTAATATTGCCAAATTCGGATCAGATATATTTTTACGGAATGAGATTACTAAAAGATGTATATGTTCGACCTTAATTAATGACCAGAAGATATACCTATGCTCGCCAAAATACATTTTTACAAATAAGAGGATGACAAATGATTAAATCAGTTTAATTAAGCGCTTAACGTTGAAAAGAAGCTGAAAAGATGTCACAGTGTTACATTCAAGGTAACACGTGAAAAAACAAGTGTTGTGTGTTTGTTGTTTAACGATGCACTGGGCAATAGGCCAGTTGGATTATGGTTGCCTGTAAGTGATCGAGTCTGGACCAGACAATCCAAGCCTTCGGGGTAAGACACATAATCAACCAAATCACCGAGCCTGACCACCCGATCCATTAAATCGCCTCTTGTGGTCAGCAACCATTGTTTGTTTGTTGCTTAGCTCCGCACTCAGCAATAATCCATCATATGACGGCGGTTTGTAAATAATCGAGTTTGGGCAATCTTGTGATTGACATCATGAGCATCGATCTACGAAATTGGGAAACAATGACATGCATCAACCAAGACAGGGAGCCTGACCACCCGATCGCATATATAAGTCGCATCTTACGATGAGCATAGTCGCCTCTTATGACAAGCAATGGGTTGCTAAAGATTTCTTATCCGGATCTTGACGGGTCAACCGCAAAGGTTGTTGAGGGCCTATTCTATCCCAGAATCCCACAGGGATTGTGATTGTATACATAAAAACTCACACATAAGGAAACATCTATATATCATTAACATTTTATGTGCCTGATGCAATAGTTTTTCAAGCAAAATAGGCATCGCATCGATGCATGGAGCTTACTAAAAGTAGCTTATTAAAGAGAGAGAGAGAGAGAGAGAGAGAGAGAGAGAGAAAGAGAGAGAGAGAGAGAGGACTTTGTCAGGTGACAGCTTACCTTTCCCATGTGCATGAATAAAATAATAACTTGCCTTTTACGCAGATGTGCAAAAGATAACGGTTCTTTTTTGGTCGGACAGTTTGGCAAGTCAAAATGGCTAAACATAACACATCTGATCCTATCATTTTAATGCATCATGACTACGTGTTTGGAAGGCTTCGATGCAAAACACGAGGGATTTTTATCGGGTCTCTGCGTTTCAACAACGTACCACGTTGTAGCACAACATGACGTGCATGTTTGGTGTTGTGTAACGATGGTGACTTTTTAAAAAGAATGGTGCAACCGAATCGAATGGCACATTAGTTAATGAGAGTTTAATGATACCTTAAAGCATCAATGAAGTTTGGTACAGACGGGTTCAGTACGCGATCACTTTAATATCCAAATGGAAGGGATAGTACCTTCCCCAGTAATGATCTCTTACACTAAGGCCGAATATTGCGTAACTAATGAGCATTTCTGAATTGAAGCTAGGTCATCAAATCATGTAACATAATTATGTTCTAAACTGGTTTCCATAGGATATATCGCTAGGATAAGATCAAGAGGGATATCTCGGGATATCGTTAACATAGATTGAGTAAGTGAGTGAGTTAGGTTTAACGCCGCTCTTAACATCATTATTTATGTCAGCTTAATGTGGGAAGAAAGTCCGAAGTGATGCAGGTCGCAGACGTTTACCACTTCGGTGAAACCCACGAGCACAGGTATGGTGCTGACAAACCTAGAAACATAATCGGGGCGAACCGGGATTCGAACCCACAATCATAGGTTTCTGGCGTGCCCAAGGGACGCAACTCTGCACAGCGAATCGTGGCGCCTTAGACGACTGGGCCACCCGTGCCCCCCTACCATAGATTGAACCACACTGCTATGCAGGCGGGTGGGATTGTCTATAGGACAAAAAGCGTCGAGATATTCCAAAGGTCGCGTTGGCAATCACGACATAAGCAAACAGATACTGATACAGAGTATGCAGCGAACATATAGGACCCACGAGCACAACAAGTACATGGGGGTATGTCGTCATACAGGACCCACGCGCACAACAAGTACATGGGGGTATATCGTCATACAAGACCCATGATCACAACAAGTACATGGGGGTATAACGTCATACAGGACCCACGCGCACAACAAGTACATGGGGGTATATCGTCATACAAGACCCATGATCACAACAAGGACATGGGGGTATATCGTCATACAGGACCCACGATCACAACAAGGACATGGGGGTATATCGTCATACAGGATCCATGATCACAACAAGGACATGGGGGTATATCGTCATACAGGACCCACGATCACAACAAGGACATGGGGGTATATCTATACACGTCTTTGACAGAGCACATTGATAGATTGATAATGTGTTAATCACCATGGAACATATAGCGTTTTTGCAGTTCGTAGTAAAAATAACATACGAGTAGCATATGACACTCATATTCGACTGCATTGCGGTTGCAGAAGGAACATATATGTTCGTGGCTGCATGGAATTTACCTTTGTGCAACATGAGATCGTAGTAGCAGCTCCATGACCGGGACACTGATGTCCTTACTGTCTTTATGTCGATGGTGCGCAAATATTTTGCGCATACAGATTGACGTTCAAATAAAAATAATGAAAAGTATAAATTATACTGGAAACAGGCACAAATATATAGGAGACAAATACCTGAATAATTTGATATAAAATCAGATTTAAGGACTTAAATGCTGAACATAAAAAGTGAAGGTTTTGATACGAGTATGCCATTAAAACAGCGTTATTCATTCTTAAAAGAACAGACAGTGAATAATGATGTCATAGCCCATTCCTAACTTCTCTTAAACAACCACATCATTAGTATTATTAATAAATGCCTTTTCCGTAAGGGTATGTAATTATAATACAACTTGAGGTGTTTCCTGTAAATATCGAAGGCTATCACTCACCTTCTTCTTGTCATTCGCTGTCACCAATTAGCCACGTACGTTGAACAATGACGTCATCAAACGTCGCAAGAACAGAATCGTCAGTGTTTATGAATACTAGTATATCTACATATACACCTCCACCGGTATTTCTGAATATGACTTCGGATAAACGTGAGCGTCAATGTATTGTTTATAGAACAAGTGAATTCTATTATTTTCTAAGACTGATGTTTTGTTAAAAGTTAAGATATAATAATCAAAGGGAGACACTGGTATATAGGCATAACTTAAGTACGCATTATTACTACATCACTAGCTAAGGGAAGCGATGCCAGATCTACAACAAAAAACAACATTGAAATCATATGAAATTGTATAGACAATTTATTGATATTTTTTGTTTACGAGAAGTTTTAACTTTAACAGATATTCCTGCTAATATCCCTAAGTTTTATGTTGTCGTAGACGTCAGCACCTACACAGAACTGAAAGAACAGGTCTTTATTTACACTTTGGCCGTCAACCACGGCATACGAGGGTTACAATACATGTAAATAATCTGTATATTCAAGCTTGCGGACGGGGTAGACATTGGGCGCAATAATTACAGAAATATTGAAATTACCGGAGGACTTAAATTGCTTAAAATATAACTGCAAAATTTACTAATATTATTGAGTATACTAACTTTTTGGCTTTGGAAGAGAGGAGGGAACTTCAGTACATTTGGATGAGGAGTAAAGTGTGCAGGCAGATACACTGTAAAACTTTACCGTGCATCATTACGGTAAAAGTTTGGCAGCCATGCTGCCGGTACAAAGCCAGTAGCTTTACGGTATGCCGTAATTATTTATACCGTGACAATTACGGTAAAATTCTGGCAGCCATGCTGCCGGTACAAAGCCAGTAGCTTTACGGTATGCCGTAATTATTTATACCGTGACAATTACGGTAAAATTCTGGCAGCCATGCTGCCGGTACAAAGCCAGTAGCTTTACGGTATGCCGTAATTATTTATACCGTGACAAATACGGTAAAATTCTGGCAATTCTAAGGCTCCAGTAGTTTAAGCCACAGCTATAGCAGGGGACTTAAAACTGCTGTAATCCTAGAATCGCTTTGTCCAAATATGGTCTCGTTTACAAGCTGTTACGACAGCCACAATCATTTTCTTAAGATTCATCATGTATGGTTATGATCAGCTTCGAACACATTCTATTCAAAAAATAAGATACAACTGTGTTACTGGAATCCTTGAACCAGATGATTCATGTTTTATTTTTTGTAGTGTGAAACTATTCTTTTTTACAACAGAGTTCGTATTACAATGTAAAGATTAGTTAACATCATAGTAGATATACCCTCTTGTATTTTGGTCAGTTTAAGGAGGAAAATGACAAAACACAACATTGTGTGAATAGCAACTGTAGGTTGACATGAGAAGAGACATTTCCTGATATTCTGGAACCTTCAAGTATGTAAACAGTAACATATGGCCATCTCTTTTAAATCCCGAAATATCTGAGTAGACATGTTTAATTGTTTACTAATAATCATGAAGTCTGTCACAATATAACTGACTAATCCATCTGAATTTGCCTAAACTGGGATGTGAAGGACACGTGTAACATGAACAAAAAATCTTATTTGAATGACTCCAAACACAACCAGAGTTACATTTCCAAAACTTGGAATGCCTCTTGCACAGTTGCTCAATACAACCTGAACACAACCCAGATTGAAAAGTAGCCAATTAAGCCAGTGTCCTGTGTTTCTAGAGAATCCAATTACACTAACATGGATGATGGTCACCTTAAATGATAAAAAAGTAAAGTCTTAAAGAAACTCACAAAGGGAGACTAATCCAGAAAAAAACACATCAAATTAAAAATCCCAGAAGATTAAAGTTTTGAAAACTTTCAACAAGAAACAATCGTGATAACACTACTATATGCTATGAAAGAGAAACCTGGAAATATGAATTTCAATTATTGTCGAATCATGTTTTACTAAATGACACACAATCAATCAATATGACCTAGTCTCTAGCATGCAATAACAGAAAGTTTGACAAAACAGGACCTTCTTTGTACAAACTTGTTCCTTTCATTTATTGCTCCTACACGCTGTTCAAATATTTCCAATCTGAAAGCCAGTATGATGTCAGTTTGCAGTGAAATTCTCCACTTAAATCACAACATTCAGTTAACAAAACTGTCTCTCACAATTCTGAAAGGAATTCCTTTGTGGAAATATCAATAAGCATACTACACTCACAAGCAGTACTGATATTTCCTCAAGTTTAACAAAATATCTGCTGCATTTTGAACAGGAAATAAGCATGTCTAAACTAGGATTTTCAGATTATTATTAATGAAGACAGCTAAATGTCTCAGAAAAAGCCCATTGAAGTTTTAACTTTATCAGCAATCTCGAACCATACAGTATCAAACATTTTAAACTGCTCCTATTACTTCACATCCTTGACGAACACTGACAAGGTATGAATAACTTCTATAGAAAATAAACTTTCAATTATCTGTCTTACTCTCAAAAGACAATGGAATACCGTGAACAGTTCACAATATTGATATAAACAAAATCAAACAGCACCAACTACATATAAGAAACAAAATTGTTCATTATTATCTGATAGATAGACACCATCAGACAATCAGACTATCAATTGCTCCTACACTCTGTGTAATTTAACAAAATCTCTGCTGCATATTGAACAGGCTATATGTCTGATTCCAGCCACTCAAAATCCGCAAGAGCGTTGATTAAGCTGAGAACCTTGGGGTTAATCTTTGTCTTCTTCCTCTTCCCTTGGTTCCCTTTCGATCCTCTATCAGGGTTGATGCCAATGAAACACCTGAATCACATTAAAATACAACTAAACATTCACTTAGAGATGTGTATCATGTATGATTATTTTATTAAAGAATATTGTACTGTCCCGAGTTCTTTATTTATCTTTATACACAGACCAAAACGTGCCTTGCTTGTGCAGAGTGCATTGTATACTTGAGCTTCACATTTTAATACTAAATGTACTACATGTGACTAACATGGCAAGAATAAATTGAATTTCAAAACAACCAATCAATTTGTGTGAACACACAATGCCATTTAGAAAGTAGTCAATATAACACTTTCTTAGTAAAGTACATATTCTAGTACTTTTTGGGGAAGAGTTCCATTCGGGATTCAAACCAACACTGCCCTAGTGAGGCACCTAATGGCCATCACACAGAGTCACTCACCCTTATTATTCCACAGGGGCGGTCGGGTAGCCTAGTGGTTAAAGCGTTCGCTCGTCACGCTGAAGACCCGGGTTCGATTCCCGACATGGGTACAATGTGTGAAGCCCATTTCTGGTGTCCCCCGCCGTGATATTGCTGGAATATTGCTAAAAGCGGCGTAAAACCATACTCACTCACTCACTCACTATTATTCCACAAAATTAAAGTCTGACAACTAGATCAATGCATGTACTTTGTGTACCCCTCTGACCAGTGTAAATTGACACAGCTCCTATGGCCAAAAGCTTTAAACACACCAGGGTTAGAAACTAACAGTTTTTGTCCACTACTCCTTATAATGATAACATATAGCAAAACCCTTAAAATGGGCCAATTTCTAGTACTCCTTAGGATACCTTTACTATTGGGCAGTTTGGTATGGACTACAGGACTAGTGCCAATTTCTAACGCTGCACACAATGCCATTCAGAAAGTGGTCAAGTATAACTAATGCTATGTTTTGGATAACACTTTCTTAGTGAAGAACAGATTCTTCTACTTTTTTTTTGGGGGGGGGGGGGGGGGAATCAGCTAAACAAAATTACAAGAAACTGTACTTTACTAAGAAAGTGTTATCCAAAACAAAAAATCTGACATAATCAATTTGTAGTTGAGCAAACTTTCTCACATAACTTCTGACTACAAAAAAGCCTGAATGTGGAATACCTCTGAATAAACTCCATGGTTGTTGAAGCCCCAGGGGGATACTCCAGATTGAACACATAGAACGATGCAAAGAATGCAGAGAAGGCGTCCATGAAACTTTGGATTCTGTCCATGGGTGAAATGACCATTCTGTCACACATCAACATGTATGTCTTGCCTGCAAGGACTGAATCACCTGTTTATTGGAACAAAAAGTAAAAGATATAGTGGGTGAAGAATACTCTTCTATTATAAACTGACTGGATAGTGATGTATTCTGAAGTTAGTGTCTGATAATCTAAAATACATTATATAACCATCCGTAACTATTCACAGTGAAACTTATAATGTTACTACTAAATTTCAATAAGATTTAGCAAGACTGTTACAGTATGTATGAAAAACTGTTCTGCTGTGCAAGTATTTTCTAGAAAACAAAATAGCACCAAGAGAGCCCAATATTACATTTGAATGACTGAATAAAACATTTACCAAAAACTATCAGCTGTAGTGATTCCTTTGTTGTGGACTTCTCTGCTGCTCCAACACTTGTTGTTTCCTGTTCCAACAGATGGTGAAAAATATAATATTCTGTCTGTATGATATTCAAGAAACAGCATGTTTTTCAGAAATGTTATAGTCTCATACTGAAACTGAAGACATTAGAGAAACATTAGCAATGAATAGATGTCAAGTCAAGTTTAAACTTTTCATCTTGAAATCAAGTTTGAACGATTTGTGTTGGTAATTGTAGTATTAAGCATACATCTTACATCAACAACAAAGAAGACATCCTTTTCCTTTTCACCAAAATGGTTCAGAACACACAGAATCACTGCGACCAACCAAGCCTTGACATTATCCTTCTCACTCTGCCTTCTGGCTTCCTCATAGATCATCTCAAACTTGAAACTGGATTTAGTTTTGAAGAATCTATTTATTCTCATTGCTTTGTCTCTATAAGCAGTTCCTAAGGCGTTCCTTATGTCTATTCCCAAAAGCTCATTAGCATGAGCCAAAAGACCCTTGACCTCAAACAGATAAGGCCACTCTTCCTTCAGTTCATCCATCGAAGTTCCACTATTAATCTCTTTGCGCTGTAGAGCATAACTAGCTTTCATGGAGCGTGATACCTTCTCATAATCTGTTTCTGAATTCTCATACATTGCCTTTAAATTATTCTTGTGATGTTCCATATCCTGGCATTCGGTGTCCCCTGTGAGAACTGGCATCCAGTTGATACAGCCATAAGAGTCTCGTCGTTCAGCTGCTGCAGCAGCACAACCACCTTCAGGATTATCTGAGTTATCACTGGAACCTGAATCACTAGCAAGTGGTCTCTTCTTGCGAGAAAGACACATCCTACTTGCATTCAGTGATCTGTTTAGGTTTTCGTTCCTGGAGACAAGTTTATTTAGAATACTGTCATATCCCGAACCGATTATAGACCCATCCAGTTTATCCTGTAGACTATCAGGATACCGTGCAGTCATCCTCTGGGCGATGACAGACATTTGGGGTCTCGATGCATGTTGAGTCTTCTTCCTGACTGCATCAACAAACAATCTGACAAGGTCCTGTCTGGCACTTGGATGTAGTCTCTTCCCCCTTTCCAAATCATTTCTCACAGCAGCACTAACATCTCTCCATGGGAGTTCTAATTTGACAGGCCAGTTGGGATCAGTGTTTATGTTGTGTATCAATATTGGACCCGGACTCTTCGGTGAGAATGACATGGATGAATCCACACTGGATGAAGGTGAGGGGACACTTCTTGATGGTTGTGCTGAAATTACAGACTATTTTTAAATGGACAAATTTAGTAGTATCATACTGAGAATTATGCAAACATATAACCCTTAAGGCTTAGCAAAAATAGTTGTGATTCCAATTACTTGACCTACCCCAAATATATGTGACTACCCTAACTTTTTTATTAGCATTTACATAACATTTCTGAAGGAGAATCAATACAATTAAAAATTACTTGCTTCAGGTTAAGATACACTCCACCCCCTTCCACAATTGTATTAAAACAAAACTGCCTACACAGCTACCCTATTTTTGACAGCAGCCATGTTATCAGAACCACAAAAGTTTTTTTGTGACCTTATCATACATAATGACTTAGAACTGTATTTTGTTTTCCAATAGCCATGTCTTACATGGTATGTAATTATTAGTGGAAGGGCAGACAACAACACAACAAACTGTAATGACATGTAACACTATGTACTCAGCTTCAACAACTTTCAAGAATAACCATTTTTACCATAAGAGTGAGTGAGTGAGTTGGGTTTAACGCCGCTTTTAACAGTATTCCAGTTATATCGCGGCATGTCAGCTTAATGTGGGAGGAAAGCCCGTTGAAACCCACGAGCACGGGTATGGTGCTGACAAACCTATAAACATAATCGGGGCGAACCGGGATTCGAACCCACAATCATAGGTTTCTGGCGTGCCCAAGGGACGCAACTCTGCACAGCGAATCGCGGCGCCTTAGATGACTGGGCGACCCGTGCCCCCTTTTTACCATAAGAAGCTGAAAGACGAAACATTAAATTGCGTGAATGTGCATTAGCTATGAAATAAATATAATACTACTCACACACTGAATGGCTAAGTAGCTTCCTTGCATGAACAGGTTTGACTCTCCCTACCAGATCATCCGGTGTCACCCACTTCAGGTCATCCACATGTGTGACGCCTAAGGTATTCAGAACATCAACAATACTGTTCAAAGTGTCCTCATCCAGGTTACCAATAAGATCAAGTACATGTCTCTTGAGACATTTCTCATCCTCAGAAATCCCACTGGCCATTGTCAGCGTTGACAGTCACTGTGACAATGAATGCTTCAGGGAAATGTAGCTCGTCCCTGATTCAAAATAGATCTCCACTGTATAACAATCTGCAAACTGAGAGAGAGTAAGACACTGCACATCATAATCATGATCAAGTGAACTTTCATACGCATAAAGATCCATAGCATCAATATATGTGCATAAAATTTCATGGACCAAAAAATACACTGTATTTCCTTCTACAAATATGTCTTGAATACATCCAACTAACATTTCATAAGAAGTTGGTTGGCTGATCACCAGTGTGTTTCCCAATTTGTATGTTATACCTCTTATGCAAACCTTTGTGGCCTTCATAGAGTTTGAACCAGTTAAGCCACACCCTAACAGAACAGCTTTGATGTTTTCTGAATACATTTCAGGGTGAAAGGGTAATAGTATTTCCACTTCAAATTCATTTGGAAACAGACTACCTGAATTGTATAGAGCCTGCAAAAGCTGGTGTTTCTGGGAGAGTGTTTTTGCTAGACTTTTATAATTCTGAAGTTTCCTAGCACATTTCTTGAAGTAGGAGTGTTTGCTTTCAAATCGAAGTGTCCAGAGGTGTATCAGAGGCCCAAACTTCAAAATCAGTTCTGGATGTTGTACCAAATAATGGTGCTTTGGACGCATCTGAACATTAAAAATCTCTTTCCTTTCATGCAAATAATCCTCTATGACAGAATTCAAAATTGCAATTTGGCAAACTTCAAAACTTTGTGTGCAGACAATTTCTACCAACTTTTTAATCAAAAGGAAAAAGGCCCAAACCCTGTCCTCTGTGTCAGCAACATATTTTCCAACAAACAGGGAAAACAGTCTGATGAATACCCAGTTCTGTACTGCATGTCCTCGCATTCTATCTGAGGTGGGGTTTACAGCACAGGGTTTGTCAAGGGCATCATAGCCTGTGTAGGGAAACCCAATCAGTCTTTTGTTTAGCTGGTCGTAGGTAAACCATCTTTTGGTGATCACAAAGTAACCAGTGACCAACTTCATATCATAGGCAAGAATTCCTTCAAATAGGTCATGCCCTATACAGGGTGGCAGTCCACTTACTACATGAAAGTGCTGTAACTCATTAAAGATAGAACTTTGCTTTATTCCTTTGTGGTTGTTAAGACCTTCACTGAGCACTATTTGGACACTTTCTTGATAATTTTCTTGGGTTCTTTTCTCACCTCTAATAGCAAAGGATTCATGAAGCATTTCTGATCTTTCAGCAAGGCAGTATCTACAAACATGTTTTCCACTAAAACTTTCCACAAAGCCCCCAACCATGTGTGAACCCAAATTATCACCAAGAATGCAAAATAAGGAACTTTTAATGAAAAGATCATTTCCCACATCTAGACCAACACTTTCAAGGTGTTTCAAATCCTTCACCAATGGACCAAAAACTTTATCTGGACCAAATTGCTTCAGGTCTTTTTCACGACAAAGTATAACTAATTGCATATGGTCAATTGTGGAACGCTTGAAAGACGGGAAATTTCCCAGAGTAAAATATACTCCTACAAGCTTGTGCTTTCTTTTAGCTGAACCCAGAGGATTTACAACTTCAAATGCATCCTGGTACAAAATAATCTGAAATGAGCCCAATTGTGTTTGAAAGAATTCATTGCCTTTAAACAGGGAGCCCTGGTGAATGTCCTGAAAACCTGACTGTTGCTCACAAGATACGCCACTGTTATTATGGTTTGCCATGTGTGATCTCTGGTAAGTATATATGCTTGACAATGTTTTGAGAATGGAGACATACTGAAATGTTTGTTCCTTCCCACTTTCTTCACTGAAACCCAAAACTACTTCCTGTGGGGGTACATATGGAAAATGTTGTTTGTAGAAAGTTGACCTACACTTTGCTGATCTTAAAGGGCCTGTATTGCAAGAAGAAAAGACATCCGATGCTCTGATGTCATCTCTGATGTCATTAATGATGACATCTGAAATCCCATTTGACTTAAGCCTCTCTATGATTCGGCTCACTACAATGTCATTGCTAAATTCATGAAGAGCTTGGTATTCTGTTATAATATCTTGAATCAAAGATACGGGTAGCAAGTGTTTTGCTTCCAGCTTTAAGTAGAACTGAGAAATATTTTTCAGGAACTGATTTTGTGTGGTGTCATCTAAATCAGCATCCTCATTTTCATTTTCATCATGATCAATTTCAGTGGGCCTGTTGTTGGTTTGTGCAGACATGCAATTCTGACGATCATCTAGATTATTATTTGTGATGTTTGCCCTGTGAACTGAATCCGATAACTCTGATATAGCATGATGCTTGTGCTTTCTGCTTATGTGAGATGAGAATGTTGATTTATTTTGAATTTTGGGTAAAAATCTCAAAACCGACAAATTTTCTGATATCAACTTGCAAAAATAAAAGTGTCCCTAATATAATTTTTCTCTTGATATTAGAGAATATGATACTTGAGAAGTACTTTCTATTTCAATGCAGTGCAGTGATGTGTTTAATTAATTAGAAAATAATTAATGAATTAGCCTAATCTGCTAGGACATTCAACTCTGTTACGGATCACAAAATGGAAAGTAATTTTAATAGCGCTAGGTTGCTTTGAAATATAAAATCGTATTCAGCAATTAACATTAAGTGTGAATACAATTCAGTGTTAAACAAATGCAAACTGGCTAAATAAAATGTATGATTGGACATTTGTAAGTGCTCGCTCCATATTTCAAAAGTTTGCCTAGACAACAAAGTCATTTACATGAAAGACGGTATCCAAAATATAGTATTTTTCATCTTTTGTCACAACATATATTATCATTAGTCCTAATCTAAAGTTAAAACTCATAAAAACAACAAAGTTTTTCGTCAGTTGTCAAAAGAAGTCATCTATTAAAAAAATCCTGACGTAACAGAGTTGAGTTTGTTGTAACGGAGTTGTAACTCATATATTTTGTTATTGCTCTCTAGCATAAAATAACAACCTTTTCATCCCTTTTGAGATGAAATGTGAAAATACATGCACTGTGTTGTGTTACTTGTCAGGACTTTGGTACTCATGGTTTATGAGCCAGTTACTGCAGTAATGGCATACAAAAGTGGGTCTACTAAATTACTAATGTTCAACCCTTTGTATAGACTTTGAAATAAATAAGCACAAAGTTGCTTAAAATGCCATTTTAGATCACTATAATATATTATAAAACTTCAAGATCAAATTTCAGATCAATCATATCATCAACACTGTCAGAAAATATGTTGTTTATACATGCATAATGAAATTGCTTTCTGCAGCCAAAACACAATAGCCAGGCACTCCCATCAATGTAAAAGACACCAGTTCTGTCTTCAATAATTAGTCCACTGTCGGAAAGAGCGCTATCAATAGAATCAAATCCACATTTTGCACAGGTCCTAACATCTTGTTCATCCAAAACATCAGAGCAGTCTGAGTGACTATTTAAAAATAAAGTTCTTACTCCAGACTGTGGGAAAATTATTTGTCAGGTATAGGGTTAAAATAAAATAAAATATTCGTGAAGAACAAAGCTATGTACTGACAATAACTATCGAAATTGTGCAGATGCACAAATTTTTCCTCTCCGTTACGCTGTACAGCATTACAGAGTTGAGTGTAATGGAGTTGAGAAACCTTACTATAAATGGCTCATATCCCAGCATGCTTTGCTTTTTATGGAAATTAAAATACTCACTGCTAACATGGTCTTGCTAACCAATTTCTCTTGGAAAAGTGAAGGAAATTAGAATGAGATATAGATCTATAGACAGTGTAACAGAGTTGAGGCTCAGAAAACATACTGTACTTAACAGACATATCTTGATGTCATTGGTTTGAACATTGTACATAAATGTGGCATCTATCTATCACCAGCAGATGAACTTCATACACATGTTGCCAAAAGAGGAAGCGTATGAGAGTTATCTCCCATAGCACAGTTATTTTTTTAGTATTGGTACGTTGTAACGGAGTTGAGTGCCTTTTGAGGGACATCTTTTTTTTCTTATTTATTTTTTTTTCAATTAGGTTTTAGATAATAATGATAGGATACATGTAATTAATGTTCATTTGAGAGTGTGAAAAACAAAATTTGTTACATTTTTAGAATATTTAGATATAGATTAGGTATTATTTTTTATTCTGGTCCAGCTGAGGGACAGCCATGTTTTTAGTAAATCCAGAAAATATTTGCTTATAAACAAACAAATATTAACTTGAAAGTACATTTTTTTAGCATTTTACATTTGAAGAAAGGTAATCTACTTGTGAATAGTCTTGAAAAGGAAATCAAATATTTTAAAATACATTTCTGCAAACAAACTACTGATGTACAGGTCAAGTGGGAAATTGTTACGGTGTTGAGATTTTCACCCTTTTGGTATTGCATGATTTGAATGGACAAATGTCGCAAATGTTTCAAGAGCTCATCAATAGAAGAGAATTCATGTTCACAAAAGCTTTGCCTGCACACAAGACGTAAATGTGACTGGCCGTGTATTGACCTTGGTTGACTTATGTTTGTGTTAAGCTTGTGATCACGTAATACGTGTGCCCGAAACGCACTGTACGTGCGAAATTTTCTTACACAAAGGTCTTGGCAACAGGGAAATAAAATATTTGGTACATGTCTGTGTAAACGATAATGTCTGACATACTGCCGTAAAATACAGGTCTCAAAATTACATTCTTTGCAATGATACGTCATACCATTTGTCAAGAACAAAAATACAGAAGCACACAATAGAAAACCTAAATAATAAACATGTGAACCCTTGATTTGCATACTCTAGACATCGAATGTGTACAAATTACCAACAGATGAGTCTTGTGACATCAGATTCTGGAACAATTCTTCTCAGGTCAACGTGAAATGGCGGCAGCGTGGATGGCAGTATCCCACAATGCCTTGGGGCCAAACGGTAGCGTCGCGTAAACATCGTTTGATGCAGTGAAACGCCGTAAAATATTTTACGTTCACGGCATTCCGGCGTACAAGTGTCATAACAAGAATCCTACCGTTGCATTTTCACGTTATGTTACCGTATATTTTACGGCAAAGTTTTACAGTGTATCTAATGCGTTCGTTACTGAAAAAAGTACAGACAAAAATATAGTGGAATTCATCTCCAATATCCCTTTGATTAGAGTGGACGGCTTCTTTCGCACAAGGGGCGGTCGGGTAGCCTAGTGGTTTGTTTAAGCGTTCGCTCGTCACGCCGAAGACCCGGGTTCGATTCCCAACATGGGTACAATGTGTGAAGCCCATTTTTGGTGTCCCCCGCCGTGATATTGCTGGAATATTGCTAAAAGCGGCGTAAAACCATACTCACTCACTCACTCACTCTTTCGCACAAAGGTACTTTTCTCCACCTGCCAGTTTCTACTGGGTGCCGATGATTTGATAATCTAAACTACAATAGTGGTATTCTATACTTTACATCCAAAATATTAAGGTATTGTTCAAATGATATACAGTCTTTCATAATTTTATAACATGAGGTTTTTAAAGAGTTTTTAATTGTTTTGTTCCTGTCCTTTTGTTTGTTTGTTGTTTAACGCCGCACTCAGCAATATTCCGCCATAATCGAGTCTGGACCAGACAATCCAGTGATTGACATGCAACTGGGATTGATGACATGCATCAACCAAGTCAGCGAGCCTGACCACCCGATCCCGTTAGTCGCCTCTTACGACAAGCATAGTCGCCTTTTTCGGCAAGCATGGGTTGCTGAAGACCTATTCTACCCCGGATCTTCACGGGTCCTGTAGGCAATAAGAGAAGCTACCTTACACATCGGTAATTTTAAGGCACATTATGTGATGCTGTATTTGTATAATGGTCCGGTGGCCCCTTTACCGAAAAAAAACCCATTCATTCATTAAAAAAATACATACCCGGAGTTTATGAAGAAGCTACAGTGTATCTGTGGAGTCATTTTAACACGTTAATAATTAAAACTAATTTATAAAATACACCAACTGTTGCATTATCGGTGTTATAGTATGACTAACTCGTTTGTATTTTTGTATAATTTCCTATAGTCGCTCGTCCACCGCCTTAGCGGCTGTATCACTGGGTGCCGTTGTACAAAACAACCATAAGAGCGCTACGACTGTCGTAAGTCTATGTTAAGGTATGGGAGTTACGATCACCTTAACGCTAAGATCGCTTTGTACAACGGCACCCAATGATACAGATCTATATGCAACATTTCCCTAAATGCTAACTGGTGCAAACATTTCCAGCGTTGTAAAGACATGCATGGTTACTGGTTTTCCCTCAGACTAAATGTCCTTTCTCATGTCCCATCCATCAGTTGTTCACTCAACAATCAACAATGTCAAGCTTCAGTTGTAAATTGTTCATTTCCATTATGCAATATTATGTTTAACTGTATATAGGGAGAAGGCGGTAATAAGTGTTGCACTTGTGCCCAATCCCTTTGTCTTTTTGGACAATAAAATATGTTTAATAATAATACCAATCAATTCTGTCAGCTCAATCATTCCTTGCACGCGACATTACCTTGTATCAGCTCTCCCATAGCAACTCCAGCAACTCATAACAACACATTGTACACCAATTTTAATCTTGTCACAACTGGCTTCATTTATAGGGAGTGAGTATGGTTTTACGCCGCTTTTAGCAAAATTCCAGCAATATCACGGCGGGGGACACCAGAAATGGGCTTCACACATTGTACCCGTGCGGGGGATCGAACACGAGACTACCTCACCGCCACGGCTTTACTTATAGGTATCTAATTATTATTAACTGGCTTGAGTGGCTTCATTTGTTTTACAAACGACAGTATAAAGTTGTCTTTGTATGAATTTAGAACTTGGATATAATCATGACACGGAATATTATTGAAAACAACTTCTTTATTGCTCAACGTTTCCGAGCTACTCTTCCCCATAATCAGATGTAGAACACGATGAGTGAGTGAGTGAGTTTGGTTTTACGCCACTTTTAGCAATATTCCAGCAATATCACGGCGGGGGACACCAGAAATGGGCTTCACACATTGTACCCATGTCGGGATTCGAATCCGGGTCTTCGGCATGACGAGCGAACGCTTTAACCACTAGGCTACCCGACCGCCCCTAGAACACGATGAAGGGGCAAGAGTAGCACGGAAACGTTGGGCATGTGTAATAAAGAAGTTGTTTTCCATAATACTCCTTGTCATGATTATATCCAACTCTAAATTCATACAAAGACAACTTCTAAATGATCGTACAGACAACCTGAATGTAGCGACCAAGTACATACCATGATGTAACGGGGCTAGATAAACACTTCGAAGAGAAAAGCATTCAAGGTGATTGCCGAATTTTACTGTGATTAAATGCTTTATTTAACAACGGATGGCCAGCAGGGGACGTACTTCCAAACTGTCAATGGAACAACGAGCACTTCTTTGGAGATCAATTAACAATGTCGTCGGCTAAGTAACAGGACCGCTTCGCGTGACGAATCAAAATACCGGTTTTGTCCAGTTCGAGGCGAGAGACCATATTTCGTTTCGCTTCCCCTGCCAGTCTTACATTTAGCGGTTACTGTTATTGATTCACGACAAAGCGCACTGGCTTCAGTGTACACGGTAGCTATGGATAGCCATGTCGGCCGCAAAGCGGCGATCGCGAAAAAAAATGTGACAGTTTTACTGTTAATTTTTTAGCACGACGTCTTAGTGGGAAAACTATGAATGGCGCGAAGCAGTGCGGATTTGTTGACCAAAACGAACAGTAAACTTGAGAGTTTTCTGAAGAGAGCCGTTTCCGAGGAAACGTATGAGCGTATTCGTGCCTACGAATCATGTATTGTTGTGTCGGAGCGCGAGAACAAGGCGTTCAAATATATTGTTCTTGGGGACGAATGGATATACCTGACAGAAAACCCACCGAAAGGCATTCAGGAAACAGTGCCTTTGAAAGACATTGTCTCTGTGGAACTGGTAAGACAAAAACATTTACAGCACTGAACACGATTTGTCATAAACTTTAGGACTGGTTTACTGTCTCTAAGTCCCTTGTTTATACATTGCTATAGGCTAGGCATAGTCCTAATCAATGTCGGCATGCTGAAGTCAAACACGTGCAGTCATGTTATTATGCGGACATTGTCTTTACTTTCATGCCTGTGATTTTAGTGGACAAAATTTAATGACATTGGGACATTTCATCGCGTTTTGCAAGTAAATTCTTGTGCAGGATATATCTATATCTTTGGGACATTTTAGATAATCAGTCAATGTCCTAGCCAAGAAAATGAACCCATCTGAAATTAAACCCTGTAAGTCGTCTATACTTGATCTGTCATGATGCTCTCAAACTTGTCACATAAGACAGCAAATGTGTAGCATTTTCATATTCTGATATAAAAAAATTCTCAATATGATCCTCAACTAACTCATTAATTACTAAGCTATAATTAAACTATGGAGTTTGTTATTCCGGCAAACAGATTAGTATGCTACCTCATAAACATGATCAAACTGACCCTGGTTCTAAAGTCCACACAGCACAGTACCATAATCCTATAACGTTACCAGGGGCAGTGGGATAGTCAAGTGGTAAAAGCATTTGTCCGTCACATCGAAGATCTGGGTTCGACGTGTGAAGCCCATTTCTGGTGTATCCCACTGTGATGTTGCTGGAATATTGCTAAAAGCAGCGTAAAAACATACACACTCACTCACTACAATATACTGATGGTACACAAAATTACGTACTAATAATTCCTGAAAGGTGATTGTTCCCTGTCACACACATTTTCAGAAGGAATTTCCTTTGGTTTGTGACCAGTCATCTAAGCTGCAGCAAAAACACACAGCACAGTGCAGTGATTGTTGTGTGTTTTAGAGTGGCGTAAACCTATGATTGTGGTCTTGAAACCTGGATTTGATTCACCATGAGCATGATGAGTGTGTTTCTTGAAATCTCAGCACCATGAGCATGATGAGCCTATGCTCATGAGTTTTGTCAAAGTGGTCAATGTCTAGATCTGGCCAGCATCACTTCACTTTACCAGAAAAATGCAAAGGAAACCCTCACTTTGGAAGGTTGCCAGAAAAATGTAAAGGAAATCTCAGTGAATCTCTGAGACCTACATCAATAAACAACTGGCAGTCTGGAGCCACATGTTATCAAATATTACAAGCTCACTTCACATTCAGTATCATTCCTTTGCAGTGTTATTATAGAAAACTGCATTGCAGCATTGTCACATCTATTTAAAGAAAATTAATCTCATATTGTAAACATGGTAAATCTAACATGCACTTGTAACAAAAGTCATTCAGTGTTCAAGTTGCTGGTATAATGTCTACGTAAGAAAGGAGTTAACTATATACAACATGTTATAAAGCAAGCTCCATCTACTGTGTAAATTTGTGTAAGTAGGTGACTTGGAGATGGATTCCGAGTTGGACAATGATAGTTGTTAGAGATGACCAAATGAATCTGATAATGCGGTTTGGTGACTTGTTAACTGCATGTCATCGTACTCCTGGATCGATGCTCATGATGTTAATCACTACATTGTCTGGCCCAGAATCCATTGTTTACAGACAGCTGTCATATGGCTGAGTCTGGCGTCCAAAAGAGTAAGAAGAGTAAGACCTAGTCCCTATCTACCCTAGTTTAAGACCATGTAGCATGAGTTGGAAGCCATAGTCACCCGTCCTAAAGTTTCACGCTTCTTCCATAAGTGCAGAAACCAACATTTAAGAACATGCCCTTATGATGGTTACTTGGTGGTGCAGGGTTGGGGGCACAGAAGTGAGCGATGTCCCGCCAGTGCATCCTCACTTCCCATGTTATTGATCAATGGCACTGATCATGCTGATCCTTCACAAGAGCCAAAACAAGAAAACCTTTTGTTAACTCTAATCATGTATGTAAATTTATTTTGATTCTAAATTAAGTTTTGCAGCAAATACTCTGTATGTATGTAGAGGTTTGTCAATGGGTGGAGGGGTTGAACAAAAGTCTCCTTGTACATGTTGTAAACATGTTGAAAAAGCAATATAATAAAAATAATCAGCAGGAACAGGCTGGTGGTGGGGGTACAAGCCCTTCTGCTCTTACAGGGATGAAGAAAATCACATTTTTATTACGACTTGCGATAAAACTGACTACATGTATTTAGCATTAGCAACCCAACTTTTTGGAGTTTGTTGCCTGACATCTGCTGAATGGTATTGGTGACTAACTGTTCATTCATGCTGCTTGTGATCAATGCCTGTCATCTTGGCTACATGCTTCACTGAGCACCCATTGTTGTAGATATAGCTTTACATGTGAATGAATCCAGCTTGATCTTAGTTGATACATGATCCATAAGTCACACACAAAAGGATTGTCATGTTTTCTTTGGGAGCAACCGTTTGATTTTCAGTGAGGTGGGGGGGTCAGAATTATTTTCAAAAATATTATTTCCTACATGGGCAGTAGATCAATTTTGTTTGTTTGAATATATGAAAATAGCAAACTCTATTGTTCATGATTGTTTGGATACTTGTCTGAGAGAAAAGTCACATTATTTTATTTCCTACAATGTGAGATATATGCAGTAAAACAGGGACTTGATTTTTGTATATTATTTTCACAGAATATTTTACATGTATTAACAATGTTACTCATGTTAATATTCTACACGTTTTGCTGATCAGGCTTTGGAGTTGAGGCTGGTTGGTTGTTTTACACCGCACTGAACACTATTCCAGCTAATTGATGGCGGTCTGTAAATAATCGAGTCTGGACCAGACAACCCAGTGATTGATATCATGAGCATCAATCCACACAATTGGGATAGATGACATGCTTCAACCCAGTCAGCGAGCCTGACCACCCGATCCCGTAAGTCACCTCTTACGACAAGCATAGTGGCCTTTTACGACAGCATGGGTTACTGAAGACCTATTCTACCCTGGATCTTCACAGGTCTTGTAGTTGAGAATATTGTCAAGATGGTTGACATATATGTAGTTGAAGTAAATTAACAGAAGGCCGCGGTTACGGGTTAGTAAAATTCAGGAAGAACGTGTGATATTTCTTTGTGGACTGACACTTTTACAATTAGCATGATAGATAAACAGCAGATCATTTTGTGGACTTGTATAAAAAAACCCAATTAATTTCTAACCTTGCATGAACATGGTGAAGTATGGCCACTGAGAATGTCTGTGTATAGATTATCTGTCACTATGTCCCTGGCTTGTATTCCCAGACCCCAAGATCAGGCCAAGTCACCATGCAGGTCACATATTGATTGGAGAAAGATACTTAACAAACTAGGGCACTTATCATTATAACAGTATAAACATACAATTCCTTTAGTTCAAATTTGACTTGCTTGAAATAGCCTAAAAACTGTCCACATGAACGAACTGTCTTCAACAGAAGTATTGTTGTAACAAACTTAAAATAATTGTTTTTAGTTTTTACCTTGGAATGACTTCCAAAGGATAGAAAATCAGAAAACATAATCTGCCCCTTATCACTGCTTATAGTTATATCATTGTATGCCGATGTGGGCATTTCTGCAAAATATTCTGCGATCACAGAATACAGCCGGGTCTGAGTGATGTCAGTTTGAACTTGTTGAATGAATGAAATGTTGTGATGTCAATCTCTGGCATGGTATTCAGACACAGGAGGGTGGTGCCTTCTCATGTCATGAAGCGTTTATGGTCCACTTGAAATAAGCATATTAACATAAATGAGAGGCTTTGAACACATGTTGAAATCACCACAGCTTTATCATGTTTATTGAACAGAGAGCTTAACATGATTAAGCATACCCCAGTACATGTAAATTGTATTTGTGACTTTTCCCTTCTTAAGGCCAATGAAGTCATTAGAATATTGATATGTTGATGATCAGTAGTATTGAAGATGACCCGATACCTGCTTACGTGATTCTCAAATGGTTCAAATGACTGTTAATTATTTGCAACCGAACCAGGTGAAATTTATCAGCTTCAGCGTATTTAGTATGGGAGTATGAAATTGTCATGGAAGGTGTGCTATATATATGATAAAGGTCTTTTTCTGGTGGGATGGGAAACAGTAGTGAATTAATAAAATGCTAATTAAAGCACAGGGCTCGAAAAATCCTCTTGCCCGCTAGTATTGACATGTAGCAGCATGTGTAGGGCTAATTCATTTCTTTATCATTTTCAATAAAATATGCAATATTATTTCGATATGTTTTCATCTGGCATACGTTTTCAGCAATAACCATGTGATAACAGCGAAATACTTGTTGCTCATGTCATAAATAGACGGCACACTTGACAACAGAAAGTGTGTTTACAGTAACAGTAACTATTTTGTTTTGTCTGTCGGAAATATCACCAAATATCAAGATTCAAAGCTTGGACTGGTGATTTGTTTAAAAAATAACTTCAGAAAAGAATCATATGAAATTCCCAGGAAGAGTAGGAGACACTTGAATAGATGTGAACATGAACAAGTTATTATAAACCTCAGCCAGTACAATATGTAAAATTAATGAATATATTTGTGATTTTTATTGTTTCATAAACTTCAATTACAGAAAGAAAATGTAATAAAAACTGAGAACATAAAAAAATGATAAAATGTAAAATGGGAAGTGAAAATATCGTAGGACGGGTACATAATATCTACTTGGAGTACTTGCACTGCAAGACAAGTTGTGTTTATGAAATTTTTTCAAGCCCTAAAGCAAGTGTTCGTGATTAAAGCCTCATTTACAGCATGTGCACAGCATTAGTTCCTTAAGCAGATTACATTGCGGAGTACAAGGGAACATTATGTAGCCACTACCTTGGAAGTTATTAATAGTAATACTGGTGTGATTTATAGAATAATCCGGGCGATGGGCCAATCTAGTGGTTCAAGTATTTACTTGTCATGCTCATTGCCTGGATTTGATTCCCCAAATGTATGAAATTTGTAAGCCCATTGC